CCGGGAGAGCTGCGCAAACGGCACCGCACGGTGCCCGCCCCGTCGTGGCCCCTCGGCCCTGCTCTCACCTGGGAGAGTCCCAAAGGCGCTGGCCCCTGTGGGTGGGACTAGGAGGCCTGGTGGCCTCAGGGGAGGTGCCCCATTGGTTACCTGGCACTTTGTTACGAAGACCAAGACTCGTCTGCCGGTGGGCAGGCCTACTGGCCTCCTGGGCCTCACGCAGCTTCGACACAGGCACCTGCCGGCTGGGCCGTGGCGGCTGGAGGCACGTCCTCTCGTGGCCTCCTTTTCAGGGGGTTCCCACCTGCGCGGCCAGGTGCAGGCTCAGGCGCGGCACACGGTCCTGGCAGACAGGTGCCTGGACTCACAGCACCACCCCCAACAGAGGCTGGTCCTGGGCAGGCAAGGCCGCTGGGGTTCTGGGGCCGAGACACATGGGATGGGCCCACAGCACCTTCTAGTGCCTGACGGCCAGGGTGCCCACCGTGAGCCACGCGGGCATGTCAGGGACACGGAGCCAGGAAAGCGCTCCTGCTGCCAAGCACAAGATAAGCTGATCCATGAGCCCGAGCAGAACTAAAGGCCACGCTCGGTACCGCGTCGGACGGCAGCTGGGGAGGAGACGCGTCTCCTGCAGAATCCCCACCGGTGGCAGGGACGCCGCGCCCTCACGTGACGTCTCCTCCCCCACCCCAGCCCCGGGAACCAGGGCGAGAGCACCAGACAGATCCCCGTAGAGGGCATCCTCCCCACCCCAGCAGCTGCCTTCACTGCCAAGGTCATCGAAATGAGGGCCGAGGCCGCAGGGAAAACGCATCAGCATTAGCACCAGCACGCCCAGCCGTGCAGGGCGTCACCAGGGCAGCGTGTGGAGGGCAGCGCGGCGGTGTCTTCCGTTCCCTGTGATTCTCTGTGGTGCTGCGTAATCCTCAGGCCCCACCCATCTCCCGCACACGGGGCTCTGGCGGGACCAGCTCCTGACTGTGACCTGTGACCTGGGGGTGGCCTGCAGGGGAGCAGAAGCGGGTTTTGGACGGTTCGCAGTAGAGTGATTGGAAGATGCCGCCACAGTCCGTGCCCCCCTGGTGGTCAGAGCTGATAGAAGGGCCTTGGTCCCGAGCGTCCACGCTGTCCTGGGGGCGTGGGGAGGTCTTGTCTCGTGTCTCCCCCGAGGTCAGTGCTGGCACCGTGGATCCCCGAGGGGCTACACATGGCCAGCGCAGTGTCCGCCCCCCACGAGAGGGTCCTGACCTCACACCCGTGGTCTGGTGTCGACAGCGCCTGCTCTCCCGCGTTCTCTGGACGCTGTGCTGACGGCCCTGTGTCCCGCAGGGCGACTACGACCAGAGCAAGACCAAAGTGCTGCACCTGAGCGCAAACCCGGCCCGCGAGGCGCAGCAGAGCCGCCGCCAGGACCAGGCGCGGCTGCAGGA